GGTACAGTTTCTAAAAGTTTCTGTGCTGGGGCTGGTCTATTTCTTGATGAAAGATTGTGCCATCTTCTTCCCACAGTTCTATTTTGGCCCTTCCTTTCTGACTTTAAGAAGAGACATGCTGACACCAGAGATGGTGGAAACTAGATCTCTAAAGTCTGGCCAAGCTGTTTCTCTGGGTCTCTGACTATAAGGTAGAACAGGCTGGTCCTGGATTCTAGTGACGGGGATCCTGTAATAGTGGAAAAATCAGAAGCACAATGGAAAACTCTCAGCCTCTGCTCTCTGCTTTAGCACACAGAAGGAGGGATTTGGCTGGCTATTTTGGTAGGGTCTTGAAACAGGCTGAGCTTTCTAGCAGGTGTGGAGAAGGATAGCCTCAATACAAAATCCTCTACTGGGCACTGAATGACAAGCAAGTGCAGTTGAGTATCTGCTGGTGACTCCATCCTGGTGATGCTGCCTTTCCTTGACCACTGGCCCTGTAGCTACAGGCCCATGGACTTACAAAGCTGCCAGGGCCCTGGGGACCACCTAGGTTCACCTGTTCCCACAGTAAAAGTTCTTGCCTTTCACATCTCTGCTCAGATGGTCTTTAGCTGGGCAGTGAATTGCTGATGGGCTAAGCAGTCCCTAAGGCTGTGGGCAGTTGGGACCTTAGGCAGCTCCTCTGTAACTACACCTGCTCTACACCCCAAAACTCTATAGCCTCTGCAGAACGGTGACGTTCACTTCCCCAACTCTTTTCCAAGTCTAGCTTTTCTTTCCTTCTAGTTCCAAGGTGCTCTGTGTCCGTCTGTGTGTGTCTGTCTGCGTGTCTGTGTATATGTGGGGAAAAGGGCAATCTGCAAACAATCAACTGAGGTTTCTTATGGTCATATTTGTGAGGATAAGTAGGAAAGAAACGAGGCAGTTACAATCACCTGTGGATTTTGTCCCTTCATTTCATGCTCTTTGAACAGGAAGTATACCTGGGAAATTACCAGCTCTTTCTCCCAAGATTCTGAGCAGGAGGAGACCATCTGGGAAAGTTAAGTCTTCATTTCCCACTCAGCATCACCTGAAGAAACTAGTGTGTTACATGCATACTTCTAGATGAATCTGAATATACTCTAGTGACGGTGCCTTAAAAACCATGACACTCGTTCAGGGAAAGTCCAGACTCAAGGACTGGTGTTGGGAGCCTAGGGAGTGTGATAAATGACAGGCTAGAAGAAAACTGTTAGAGCCTACCTCCTTCAGTGACAAATAGGGTTAACATGATTGTAGAGGCAGAAGTATTTCTTCATTCTGGAAATAGGACATTCACCTCTAAATAGCTTACTGTTTATTCAGAAGTAATTCTAAATTTAATAAGAAGCAGGGGTGTCTTCAAAGGAAAAGATCCATGCTTTGCTCAGATGGGGTCTGCAATGAGGGGAGATGCTGGGATAAGCCATGTCTGGCTCTGCTATGCAAGCACAAATTTTATCTCCTAGATGGATGTCTTGGTTTTCCTTTATTGCACTAACCCTAGTCTTCCCCATCTGTGACATTCCTGAGGGATTTCGGTACCAGGTGGCCATCAGTGCACACTTTTCTAGCGAGCAGAATGAGTGTACTTTCTTATGGTATCTAAGTCAGGCACTGGGGCCTGACTGCTCTCCAGAGTCAGGACCTTACACTGTCCAGGACCCTGGCCTGTAGATCTGTTGTAGTCCCCAAGAATAGGCAAGAGAATGAATTCTTACTTGAGTTTATGGCCACCTGTCCTTCTGTACCTCTAGTTTGCAGTTTCCTGTCATCTCAAGATATGCAGGGGAGAAGAGAAGTATTGGGACAGTTTGGTTTTTAAATTCTCTAACCAAGTCGAGTGACAAGCTGGTCTTACAGAGAGTACTGCTGCACTTAGCAGCCATGTGACATTGAGCATGTAATCTATCTAGGTCTGTTTTTTAACTACAAAATAAACATAATAGACTGTCAAAGCTGTAGGATTTGGGGGGGGAATAAGTGTTAATCCTTGCTTTTATCACTACCTTTTCTAGCTCATCACTGTGCCTTCTTTCTTTCCTAAGAAAGACATCACACACACTTTTCTGTTCTTCTGTCCTTCCCTCCCCTTGTCAAGGTCTAGGCAGAGCTAGAGATGAGGCTGGGGTCTGGAGTTTTCTAGAGGGCAACTTAGAATGGTTTAGAAGGAGAAAGCCCAACTCTGGCCTTCTCAATCCTGCATTTGGTGACAGATGAGACCAGGTCAGGATGGGTAACATTTCTCTTGCTGGGAACATATATTTAGCCAGTTTTCACAATGCCTAGAATGTGTATGTCTATTTGCACAAGATTGTCTTTTCCTATTTTAGAGTGGTCAGACATTTTATTTTTGTTCAAAATTATCTGGAGTTTTAGACAAACTTGCAAGACTGTGCTTTTATTAAGTGACTTTTTGAATAAACTTTTTTGGTATTCTGAAGCAAATGTATTTATTTATTGGTATGTGCAATCAAAAACTTGGTATTTTCCCATACTGACATTATATATGTTGTTGAATTTAGTGTTTGTCTAAGTAAAGACATATACCAACAAATTAAACTTGAATTGTTTCAACACTACTGTGTCTTTTTTTTTTTAAACACAGAGAAAAACTGCTAGGTTGGCCTCAAACTTGCAGAGCTGCTCACCTAAAATTTCTTCCTACACTATTCATTCATACGAGCCTCAAGTAGTTACATGGATGGTAATAACAAAGGGACCACAACCTGTTTAGAACTACTGACCTCCCTCTGACTGTGCTTTGTAAGTTTAAGGAGGCTGGGAAGGGTAGGAAAATGATGAGGTTAGAAGATACTTAGGTTAGAGTAGTCCTCTTCAGAGCCATCTGTGCCACCTGAAAGAATTGGCTATATTCCCTCAGCAACAGAACAGGGCTGGAAAGGCCCAAATGACAGATAGAACTATCTGTTTAAACAGGACTTGCACATGCATACGAATCTTTTTCACAACCTGTGACAGATTTAAAGACAAGAGGACAAGAGGCTGCAGTTGTGGCTGGAAGCATACTTAAAAGCTAGTAGTTTGATCCTAAAGGAAGAGGTCACAATTAAAGCCACCCAGAGACTACCAAATGACCCTGAGCCATTCTTGGCAGTTAGGGTAGCCTTAGAGGGTCTCAAGTGTGACAACTCAGCAGCACAGGACCGGAAGACAGAGTGATGATGCTGTTGATGCTGAGCCTACCGCATGCTTCACTCTGAGACAGACACACCATAAAAAGTACCAAATTTAATCCAAACAGCTCTGTATGGTAAATATGCCCAATTCATACATGAGAAAATTGGCACTGAGAAGAAAAAGCTTAAGAAAAAATGAGCCATTTGACTTATTTTCTTTGTATAAGAAAATAGTGAAAGGTCAGTAGATTCTAGAAAGGTTAATGGTCAAGGCAGTTACAGATAGATGATTTGTGCTTTTTCTCAATACTGCTGAATAGCCAACTCACTAAATTTTTCTTTAGAAAACAAGCAGTCTGGATAAAAGGGAGATTTAAGAGTGTGGTAATAAGTGGAGTTTTTTATTCCCCTAGACAGAGTTTTGATATGACCAAAAGCATTTCCTACCTGAACCATGGCCTGTTTCCTGTGGGGAAGACAATATGCAGGATATTCTAAAAAAGGAAACAGGTTTTTGTTTTAGTCACCAGGTTGAAGAAAAATCTTAAATTGCCAAAGACTATACATCCAGGATAGTCCTGGTTTATACCTTGGCATAATTATTATCAAAGCTTCCCTTTTTCAAAGTATTCCAGTTTGAACTGTAAGTTATTTTATCACCCAAGCCATAAAATAAATCTGGAAAATAGAAAAAGCACTGCTTAGATCCTAAAGGATTGAAATGAAAGGTACATTAAAATTTCTGATATTAAATGCATTAATGTATATCTGATATATATACAAACCAAGATCTGGAGCAGCAAGAGCCATCATGAGGGCTTGGCACTTCTGGCAGGAACTATTTCCACAAGCTAATTTTTCCCAAACACACTCAAAGGGTTGGTTATGCAATACTTTACACACCAGCCTCATCAAAATACCTAACAGCCATCACAACCCACTGTTTTTGCCAATAATACCATTCCTTGCCAAAAAGGTCCTTTTTCTTCCTTGCCCACTTGGAGGACTTCTTGGCATGCCATAAGGTCCACCTCTATGAGGTGTCTTGGAAGTATTTTGGCAAAAATTATTATCTCCAGGGCTCCTATAGTTTTGGGTTTATATTTCAATTACAGCATAAACTACTGGGTTAATAAAACAACTACCACCCAAAGCATGGTTATCATGCATGAGCTAAAAGCAATGCCATTTTACATGCACTGATAATTTTATTTAATGCTTACAAACCTGTGAGACCTCAGCTTTTACTACTCATACCTTATACATGAGGAAGCCAAGTCTCAGGCTGCCTAAGGAGCTGACCCAAGATTCTACAGGTACAGAGCATGCAGGGGAAAATCATGACCAGTCAATTCTCTCTGACTGCAGAATTCACAGTCTTGAGACTTCTTATAGTTCATAGTTCGTTTTCTCTGTCAGGTTCCCACTGTCAGGTTAAACTGAAGTTTTAAAAAGCAGGAATCGAGCCTTCTGTTCCTACTACCTAGCACTGTGTGGCTGTCTGCTAAATTAATGACTCAATGAATAGGCAAGAAGGAAACAGAAGTACTTACCTATAAGGGAATTATATCCTAAGGTAAAAAAGACACTTGAACCAGTAACCCAGGGCTCTCCTCAAATCAACCCCTCATAGTGAATGAAGGGAAACCAATTTATTGAAACAGTAAAGAGTGCCTACTTTTAGTGTTATATTACATCAGTTTATCTTCCGTACATTTTAAGCTGCATTCTTTACAATGTTAATCAAATTTTCTACACAGAGATAGATGTAATGCAATATACTTTCTAAGAACCAATCTTCAATGATTTTTCTCTATAGTTCAAATTAACTAACAAGTTGAAGAAGCTGGCAGATTATCTTAATATGATCTCATACCTCTAACAGCACTTTATATGCTTGGCATCATATTCATGGCCAGGCACAATGACTCTAAAAAGCTCTATCTACCTTTGTATCAGTTCTTAAGTTTTAAGTCTTCCCATTTTGTGTCTGGGAATGTCCTTGGGAACATTCCCCTTTAAACTTTCAGGTCTTACATGTAACTGAAATCATTCGCCCTTTGTGTTACACAGAATTCACACCTGCTGTCTTGTCTCACAAAATGTGACAGATAACAGCTTACAAGAGGCCTTTAGTTTGGTCAAAATCCTTCCAGTCCTAATTTACTTCCTACTTTTCTCAACTCTCTCAAAAGTCCCAAATATTCAAATACAGTCTCTGCCCCGAGGCATTGCCTCGTTGGTTCTCTGCAACACACTGTAGCTTTCCTATTGTGCTGGCACACTCTAACAAGCTCAGTCCTCATTTTTGTTTGAATTCATGTGGTTCTAAGAACAAATTTTCCAAAGGGGACAACATTCAGAAACTATTTGTAGACGAGGACTATCTGTAAGTGCACAGGTACTCTCCCCTACTGCTTACTCCCTGGCCTTCTGAGCTACTTGTGCGAACTACTACACGTAGGTAGGCCTTCCTGTAGCCTCAACAGCCTTAAACCTTGGCTCTGCAGGGCAGGAACTACGTGAAGTCTCTATACTTCCTCTGGTCTTCAGTGATGCTTCTGGGTTTGGCAGTTGTAAGCTAGAGATCCAAGGAATACCAAGAGTAACAGTCCCCAAATAGGCCTATGGGCTCATTCTCAGGTTAATGAGAGTGTTCTGTTACTTGGGAGAGCACACTGGTGCTCCTAGAAAGACCCTCTCTAAAAGGAAGAGGCTTCAGCTTTGTGGGCAGACTTAAACTGGTCTAGGCATATCTCAACAAACAAAAACAAACTCTTCTCCCAAAGGGACCACTAACCTGCTTAAGGCCCAAAGAATAATAAGGCATTTTGGAGTCTAAAATTTTCACTCTTGAACCTTACATCCTGATCTTCGAAAGCTGATGTTCATTCACAGGAAAACCATCTGTTACTCCTAGCAGGAAGAGTCAGACCTTTGCCCAAGTGATACCATCTGTAAGTATGATATACCAAGTATAATTTCTCAATGGATCAAGTTTTCTGATGGGGAAAGGCAGGAAGAAAGTGAAGCTGTCTTATGTTAACACTAATGTCTATATTTTACAAGGTGACAGGTGTGTGAGCACCAGGAAGGATACATAATATCCAGGAAGGATACATAATATCCAGGGTAGTGGGCTGGTAGCTATGATATCTGAACACAGAGAAGGATATACAGGGCACAGGGCCAAGGATGAAATCAGAGAGAAAGGTCACCTTGAGACTAGAGCAACGGATACTTCACCAAACTGGCTGTTTTCACTCTAAACCCTGTAGGTTACGCTTCCTCAACATGCCACCTATATATGCTTTATCAGTGCTGATATCCAACCCTTCATCTCTAAAGTCTCGGGGCCAGTCTTCTTTGGTGGTTTCCTCTTGCTCACTACAGCTATCTGCACTGAATCCAGCATTCTCTGCCAAGACAGCAGGATCCTCTTCTTCATGAAAACAGCAGGAACATATTTCTGACTTTGAGTCACACGAGGTAACAGAATTATCTTCCTGGGCTCTGAGGTCAGTGGGCAGATGTTCCCAGCCCAAACGGTCTGATTCCTCCTCTTCCATCACTCCCATTCTTTCAGCTATTTCTTCAGCAGAGGGCTCTTTTGGATTAGGATAATCCACCAGGATTGTATCTTGCCTATGCTTGATACAATCTGAAAGGTCATAAATTGGATAAGTCTCTTCAGGGTAACCTAGAGAGAAAAGTAGCACAGTCTTACAAAGAACGTCTCTTCAAAAATAAAGTGTTAGGCTCAAAGAGGATTCTTTGGCAAAAGCCATCCTTTCCTAACATCCATTCAAGAAACCTCTAAGACAATTCTAATAGTTTTAAGGTTTCACTTGAACAAATTCCTAGCAATCTGGCTGACTATCCCAGAGCTCTTTGAAATATAAACCAATGCAAAGGAAAATCCCTTTTTAAGTGTAGGGTGCTTAGGGCAGAGTTAAGTCTCACCCCTTGTGCTTCTGCAATGCTAATAAAGATTAAACAAATAACGAGCAGTTTTTAAAATGCAATAGATAGCAAATGAAGAGAGCTTAAGGCTAATGTTTATAATTTCTATTGGAACCATTTCCAAATCTTCTGGGGGGAGTAGTTGGACGGGTGGAGAAGAAATGCTAAGTCCTTTGAAAAAAACACCATAAAGCTTTCTACTCATCAAAACAACTGAAATAGCTTGCAAATGTCAAAAACAGAGGCGCTTTAGCAAGACATGCCCAAGATCCCAAAGGACAAACATTGCATTTTCAAAAGACACAATTCCATTGTTGGCTTCTCCATCTTCACAAAATGGAACAAAAGAAAACAACAAACTGGTAAACAAAATGAGTAACACTGGTACTGAATCCCAGTTGTGATAATGAGAAAAGAGGAAATGATGCCAAATTAAGGAAAGGAATGAAATAAATCTGTGTCAGCCAAGCTGAGCTTGAGCAGCAGATGGACCGTGCTGGAGCTCATATGCCAGCGCTGGCAGCAGCGGCAGTGCTCACTACACAATGTGGAAAACTGGAGAATTCAAAATCCATTTGGACATTATGATCATCAGCAAATTCAACTCTAACATACGCCACTTTTTACTTACCAATTGTAAGAAATAATGGCCTTTTTTGGTACACTGTAGGGTATGCAGAAACATTTTCCAACATTTACTGTTTTTTTCTGATTATAAAAGTCATACAGACTTATTGCAGAAAATTTGAAAAATGCAGACAAGTTTAAAACAGGAAACAGAAATCATCCAAAATCCCATTACTGATAACAATTTGATTTATTTATCTCTGGCCTTTTTTTTTTTTAACCACATGTAAACATATTTTTCTTTTTCCCTTTTTTAACAAAAAAGGATCATATTGTATATGAAGTATTTACTGTGCTTTTTTTCATTTAACATTTTATTATGAGCATTTCTCCATGTCGTTACGCATCTGAAAACTGGCTCAAAATATCCCATCATACAGCTGTATAATTGACATGATTTACCATTCTTCTTCTGTAAGACACTCAGGCAGATTCTTTCCAACTTTTCCCTATTGTAAGTAACACAGCAGTTAAGAGCACCAAATATAAATCCAGGTCCTCTCTCTAATTCTTTAAGATAGACTTCTATAAATATGAAAACTAGAGCAAAGAGAATGGACATCTTAAAAACCTTTTTAATACTCTACCAAATTACTTTCCAGAATGGTATAAAATTTCAAGCTACCAGTGATGTAAAAACTGTCCATTTTATCACACTCTCACCAGTACTTATAGTAAAAGAATCTTGCCGATGCAGTCTTTCTTTGTTTTGTTTTTGGAGGTACTGGGGTTTGAACTCAGAACTTCATGCTTACTAGGTAGGGTCTCTAATACTTGAGCCACTCTTCCAGGCCAAAATTCTTTTTCTTTTTTTTTCCAATGCAATCTTTTTTGTCAAGATTAACTTACTATGGACAGAGTGCTAGGTAAAACAGAACTTAATCATTGCTATGGTCTGGGTGTTTATTCCCTCCCAATCTCATATTGAAACTCAATCCCCAAAGTCGTATTTGGAGGTGAGGTCTTTGGGAGGTAATTAGGATTAAGGAGGTCATGAAGGTGGGACCCCCATGCTGGCATTAGTGGCTTTATAAGAAGAGGGAGAGAAACCCAAGCCTCTGACTTGCCATGTGATGCCCTCCACAATGTTATGATCAGATGCCCTGACAACTGTGCTCTTAGATTTCCAGAAAAATGAGTTAAATAAGCTCCTTTCCTTTACAGGTTACCCAGCCTGTGGTATTCAGTTGATAGAAACAGAAAATGGACTAACACAACCTTCTTAGTCAAGGGTAGAAACTACAGATACCTGTTTGCTAGTTAGGTCTCAGTCACTGAATCCTTAAGACAAGTCCATTTGTTAGCATGTCCTTGCCTTCATCTTACACCAAGAACAAAGCTAACCTATGGATTTCCATGACTTTCTGCTTTGATTTAAGAGGACAGGCACATAGACTAAAGGCTTCAGGCCCAGTCCAACAACCTCTGAATTCCACCAATCCTGAGTACCAGGGTGGTCCCCATGGCCCTAGGTCTCTGACTCACTCCAGCATCATGGCTCTAGTGATACAGCATCTGCTAGCAAGCACAAGGCTCTAAGTTCAAATCCCTTTGCCATCAATAAAATTAAAGTCACAACTGAGATATTACTCAACAGAAGGGCTAAAATTAGAAAGACTGACAACACCATGTCTTAGCAAGGATATGGAATAACTGAAATTCTCATATATTACTGGTAGGAAGGCAAAATGGTAAAGTCACTTTGGAAACCAAGTTGACTGTCTAATAAAGTTAAACATACATTTACCATAAACCTTAGAAGTTTCACTCCTAAGTATAGACCCAAAAGAAACACCAATATATGTCCAAATAAAGCCTTGTATATAAATGTTATAGCAACTTGATTCATGATAGTTCAAAGCTTGAGAACAACACGTGTTCCTCAAGTAGTGAATGGGGAAGCAAGTTATGGTATACCCATATAATACTACTCAGCAATTAAAAAAACTCAACAGCACACATGTATCTCAAAATCATTATACTAAACCAGAGAGCATATGCAGTATGATCCATTTTTATACACAAAGCAAAACTATACAGAAGGAAAGCAGTTTAGATGTTGCTAGAGGCAGGAGGGACTTTCTAGGGCAATGGAAATGTGTTATGCCAAGATTGTGGTATAATTAGTCAGCAATATATAGCTGTCAAATCTCATCCAACTGTACACTTAAAATTGGTAAAAAAATTATATATGTTATGCCTCAGTATAAAACTGATTTGTGAAAAGTGAGCAAGATCTCTTTTTTTGAACTGACAACTAATAAAGAAATGAGAAGATACCATTTACCTTCCCAGTCCTCCATGTAAGGGGCTTCTTCAGCTTCTTTCTCTGGAGTGGATCTGTCAGTGAACTTTCCCTCTTTCATGACCCTGGTTATTTCTCGGAGTTGATGCAGTAATCGTTTCTCTTGGTCAGAAGGCACAGTCTGTGCTCTGTTTGGAAATCAGACAGTCAGCCATTTAGTGGAAAATACTGCCAGGCAATGGACAAAGCAAGCCATCACTATGGTGATCTGTCTGGATCCTAGAACAGGACATCTAATAGCAGCAGATAGTTACCCTAGGAATTGATCTTATAACTACATAACTGGTAACTAGAGATGTTAGCTCAAGGTTTTGATTTTATAAATGGGAAAACTAATGCCCATAATAGCTCAAAGTCCCACACTGAGTTAATATCAATCCTGGGACAAGACTGCAGATGTGTCACCTTTTAGTTCAGCATCCCAGTACACCTCACTATCAGGATTCCCTAATCTCCTGGCAATGTGCTACTCTCACATTTACTCCACTGCCTACAAACTACTTTCCTCTGAAGCAAGGCCATCAAAGAAAAATGTTTTGGGCCATTAGCCTCAACCAGGGAAAAATATACTACTGGAATCACCAGACTTACTACTTGTGCAAGAATAAGGATGTATCTAAATATTCAGAGCTTGATAATTCTGAAAGCTCAATCATCTAGGTCATAGGGAAATTGGTGAAACAGGTCCATAGAAGAGAAATTACACTCATCATGCTACTATAACCCAAACTAGTCTCCTGATTTCTGTGTGTGTGTGTGTGTGTGTGTATGTGTGTGTGTAACCCAAACTAGTCTCCTGATTTCTGGTAACATTCTGTACAATTCTGTGTGTGTGTGTGTGTGTGTGTGTGTTGCTGGGGATTAAACCCAGAACTCATGCACACTAGGGAAACACTCTACCAATGAGCCATACTCCAGCAATACTCAATTTCCACAGTTTAGAGAACCTAGTTTGAGTCTCAACTAGCTGTGTGGTTCTGGGCAAACATCTGTGAAAATAACATGAGGTTCAACAATAATAATTTGTTTCTGTGAGAGAAAGTATCTCATCATTGAGACCAGTTTTTGTATCTATTGGCAGGATTTAACAGAATCCACTGATTCTCTCCTGAAAATCCAAAGTACTCTAAGTTAACATACCACTTGTGAAGGAAAAATGATACACTCTGTACTAAACTTATGGAGCTGTCCTCTATTCTTGCAAGCCAGTTCTGGTCCTGCATTTCTTTTCCTGGTCAACCCAACAAATATTAGCATTAATGACTAATAAGAGAAAAGAAAAAATAATGTTTCTCCTTTCAAAATGAGTATGATAACAGGAAAATGAAGGCATGACATTCTCATTGACTTCAGTGAGAAGAAAATAAAAACACACCAGCTCCACTTCTGTGACACTAAATGGCTTCAAAGCCATGTCCATTCTATCTTCAGCTAAAATCCTATACTTATAGGGCCTGTTACAGCTCTATTCTTCCCATTAGGAAGTCCTGTGCCTATTTCCCACATAAGCTCTAATTCTTATTAAAATAACCCACTTAGTGGGAGAATTCAGGGGCAGATCAGAAGAATGTGCCTGCTGATCACAAAGCTCTGGCCTGCAGACTTCATAGGCTGCTTCTCTGGACTGTACACAGGGCATTCTGATGTTTACTGAATAAAACAGTGTTGATTTTCTGTTTCCTACCTCATGCAAAACCAAAATCCCTTAACTAAAAAAGGATAGCTAGATTTGGAGAAGCAGGAACAGACAAAAATTCCAAACTACAGCATCCTCTTTTAACTCTGAAAAAGTATACTCATGTTGTGCCTTAAATGCATTAGGCAATTAACCATGGGCATCCTATGACATCTTCTGAATTTACTGCAACGAATATGCTCATGGATTTCTTATTGTCTCAACTTGGTTTGAAACTCTTGGAGGGCAATAATAATAGTTCATGACAGTATGGAAACAGTTCTCAACAATTAGGTGTGAGTTTGACTGATTGCCATTTCCTCACCATCTGTGTCTTTCACCTCCCTCAAATCTGGTTTCCATCCTATCATTTTATCGAAACTCACAAAAGCTGTCAATAGCTACTTTACTCCTATGTCCAAAGGTCTTTTTCTTCTAGTTCATTCTTCTTAACTTTTCTGTACTGTAAACCATCCTTCTCCTTGAGGCTTCCTCCTTCTTCAGCCATTGAGACATTTGTATTCCTCCTTTAACTATTCGTTTTTCACCCTGATGCTGGCTCACTTTCCTTTTCCTACCTCCTAAAACATGGTTTTTCTGAAGGCTCAATCTTAAGAGACTGGTAAAGTGTATTTCTGGGTATGTCTGTGAGGTACTTTTTAGAGAAGATTAACTAAGTGAGGGAAGATTTGCTCTGAATGTGGGTGGCACCATCCCATAGGCTGGGGCCTGAATGCTAGCACAGTCATTTTCTCTCTGGTCCTGTTCTCCATAAGGTGAGGAGAACTTGCTCCCTATGTCATGATGCTCCACTTCACCATGAGCTCAGAATCAATGCAGCCAAGGACCATAAATAAATCTGAAGCCATGAGCATAAATAAATCCTTTCTTTCTTAAGTTGTTTATGTCAGATATTTTGTCACAGAATGAGAAAAGCTAACTAACACATAAGAGGAACTAAGGTTGTAGATGGATTAAGGATGCACCTCAGTTTACATTATAATACAAAGATTACCATGGGTTACCTAAGGGAGCACAGCACAATTACAAGTCCTAAGAGGTAGAAGAGGGAGGCAGAAAGGGTCAGGACTGATGCAATATCAAGTTTCAACCCATTGTTGCTACTGGATTATGGAGAAAGGGGGCCATGAGCCAAGAAATGTGGGCAGTTTCTAGAAGCTAAAGGGGGCTTGAAAAGAGTATACAGGAGAAGCATCTAGCCAAGTTGTATGAGTTTAAGGAAGGATATTCAGAGAAAATGATGTCTATGTTTATGCCTGTAAGACAAGCCAAGAATCAAAATTAAGTGTGTGGTGGGGGTAGATGGAGTATGACAACTCAGGAAAAGGAAAAAATACACAGTAAGCCTGCCTTATTTGCAGATTTATTATCAATGCAGTTTTGACCAAGCACAGTCAAAATTAAATAAATAAAAATCAAAAGAAATCTGAAAAACAAAAACAAAACAAAACAATTTCAGCACACACATTTTGCAGTTCAGTTGATATGGAGAAGCTCTCAGTCACTCCCATATTATGATGTTTAAATCATCGTGTAATCTGCTAAATCTTTCCCTGTCCTTTATTTTGTGAAAATATACCTCCCAAAAAGCAAGATAAAAGTTATGGAAATCCTTCCAAGCCAAAAAAAACCACAATGCAATGAACTTAATTTCAGTGATGAAGTGAAAATACTCAATTTGTTGAAAGGTAGCATGGCTTTAGTGGAAGTTGGGTGGTGTTATGGGAAAAATGAATTAAGCATCTGCAGTGTTCAAGATAAAGAGCATGAAATAAGATCTACTTTTTCATAAGTTGAAGAAAACATAGGCTTTTCAACAAATAGTGCTGGGAAAACTGGATATACACAGGTGGAGGACTGAACTTAGACACCTATCTCTCACCTTGTACAAAAATTAATTCAAAATGGATCACAGAACTAAATGTAAGTCCTGAAACTTTGAAACTACTAGAGAAAAACTTAGGGAAGACCACTGAAGATATAGGCATAGGGAATGCCTTTCTGAATAGGACTCCAACTGCTCAGGAAATCAGAACAAGAACTGACAAAATGATCATATAAAATTTTAAAAGTCTGCACATCAAAGGAAACAATTACCAGAATGAAGAGACAACCTAAAGGATGAGAGAAAAATCTTTGCCAACTATTTATCGGATAAAGAGTATTCAGACTATATAAAGAGCTCCAAAACTTAAACAACAAAAGAATTAACAATGCAATTAATAAATGGGCAAATGAATTGAACAGACAATCCTTCAAAGTAGTACAACTGACCAATAAATACATGAAGAAATGTTGAACATTCTTAGCCATGAAGGAAATGCAAAATAAAACTATCCTAAGATTCCATCTCACCCCATTCGGAATGGCTATCATCGAGAAGACAACAACAAATGCTGGAAAGAATGTGGGGGAAAAAGGAACCCTTATTAACTGTTGGTGGGAATGCAAATTATCTAGCCACTATGAAAATCAGTGTGGAAGTTCCTCAAAAAACTAAAAGAACTACTGTATGATCCTGCTATACCACTCCTGGTCACATATCCAAAGGAATATAAGTATATAATAGAGACACCTGCACACCCATGTTAATAGCAGAACTAGTCACAAGAGTCAAACTATGGAATCTGCATAGGTATCCATTAACTAATGAATGGATAAAGAAAATGTGATATGTGTGTGTGTGTGCGCGTGTGTGTGTGCGTGTGTGTGTGTGTGTGTGTGTGTGTGTGTATGCACAATGGAGTACTGTTCATCCATAAAGAATGAAATTGTCATTTGCAGGAAAAATGAATGAAACTGGAAATTATCATGTTAAGTGAAATAAGCTAGAACAAGGGGGGCAGATGACTACAGGAGGTGGACTCTGTGCAAGGGAGGAAATTTAAAGAAGAGGGTAAAGGAGGAGTGAATATGATCAAAGTACTTCATACACATGTATGAAAACAGAATAATGAAACCTGTTGAAAAATAGTTCTAAAGGCCACATACCGGTGCTCATGCTACTTAGGAGGTTGAGATTGGGAAGATCACAGTTTGAGTCTGGACCCTACCTCGACCAACAGCTGGGTGCAGTGGCAAACCTCTGTCATCCCAGCTACTTGGGAGGCTGAGATAGAGAGGATTGTGGTTCCAGACCAGCCAGGGCAAAGAAAGTTTGTGAGATTCCATCTCAATTTTCTAGAAAAAAGCTGGGTGTGATGGCAGGTGAGTGTCATCCCAAGGACAGCAGGAAGCAAAACAGGAGAATCGCAATCCAGGCCAGCCTGGGCAGAAAGGAAGACCGTGGCTCCAAAATAACCAAAGCAAAAAGGGCTGAAGGTGTGGCTCAATTGGTAGAGCACTTGCCTAGCAAGTTCAAAGCCCTGAGTTCAAACCCCAGCACTACCAAAAAAATTATTTTAAAAAGGGGGCAGGGGAGATAAGAAAGAGTAACAGAAGGGGTGAATTTGATCAAGGTACATTGTATGCAGGTATAGAAATATCACAACAAAATCCCTATTGTATAATTATGCTCTAATAAAAAAAGATCTATTTTTTGGCGAGCAGTGTTAACGTGTACAACAGTAAATTTTGTGACAATATTATAGACTACTCCACATGGTTTCAAGTTACATATGCTCAGACCTGCTGTATGTACAGTATAGGCAAATTTGAGTAATTTTAAAGTACTAAATTCTGCATCCTGAGCATTCATGATTTTTCCTCAATGGTGATCTCCTTAGAACCATACACCCACATATACCAGGGATCTAGTGTATGCAGAGTTCTAGAAGCAAAAGTGTAAAAGTATTTTAGAGAACACAAGTGGTCAATATAGTTGGACCAGAGAGAGAGAGAGAGAGAGAGAGAAAGAGAGAGAGAGATAAAGCAATAGAGGTATGGAAGGCCAGGTCACTTAGAACCATGTAGGCCATGTTAAAAATTCTGCCCTTTTCAAGATCAAAAGGGTTAAAACAAAAGATAACCACCTGATTGGAAAGCAAAAACTGAATTGAAGGAAAGCAAAAAAGAAACCACATGAGAAAGTTCTGACTTATGTCAAAAACAAAGCCAACCACCCATTCATTCTTTCTTCTATTTCAATTAATATATTTTTAGAGCTTATATATGGGTCTGTGCTAGGCTCGGGAATTTAGAAGGATAATCCTTGTCCTTATAGAGTTTACTGTCTTTTGCAAGGAGACTGACTTAAGAACTAGGTGGAAATGGTAAGACATGGTGATTAATGAAACATGGGAATGAAGGAAAAGATAGATCAAAGATGATGTCTAATTTTTGCTTTGGTTAACTAAATGGATGGTGCAGCCACCTTTTGAAATGGGTATATTAAGGCAGAATAATCAACTTGGAGTGAACAATACATTCTACTTGGGACATTCATGTCAAGAAACATTTATTGTTTGAAGAAGCTAAGGGTAGGCAGCTGTGAGATGTATCCAATAAGGCTCTGAATACACAGGTCAGGAACTAAAGAAAAGGGTCTCAATAGGAAATGGCCATGATTTCCTCTTCTAGCATGAAAATAAAGTACATAGTTTACATCAAAAGTAAGTATCCTTATTCAACAAGTATGTACTTAGTACCTACTTTATGAACACACTGAAAATGAAAAACTAAATCTACCCTTGAAAATGTTATATTATAGCTATCCATGCCAGCGATATTCTAGCAAGTCCCACACACCTACTGAACACACCTCCTGGGGGTCTTTGCTACCAGAGGTTGAACTCTCACTGTTTCCCTTGGGCCATGCCATGCTTCTAGTAGGTAAATCATTACAAGTGGGCATGCTAAAAAGGAAACTTTTCTGATCATAAGGACAGAAATGAGGACACCTCACTTCTGGTTTTTATCCTGAGCTGGATATTGTGCTTAATATCAGACACAACATGGTACAATACTGACCTTCCAGGTTTCATGAAACATGTCTGAAAAAGTGTATTACACAATATTAAAAATATTTCCCACATCTTATTCTTACATAAATATATGTAAGATAAAGTTTCAGAAACTGCATATTTCTGTGATTTCAAGCCAACATCTTGTGGTTATGGACTGCTATTTAAAATATGTATGTAAAAGGACTTAGGAGGCTGGAAATGAACATGACATGACTTCTTTGTCTTAATCCTCTCATTGACCCACAGATGTCTGAAGATGCAGTAAAATTGTGTTTTATAGAAAAAATACTGGAGTATTTTGGGCATGTCTAATAATCTTAGAAGTACACACCTATAAAAGAACAAATACCACAGAAACCAAAGTTAAAGAATATAAACTGTAAGTATAAAAAGGAAGACACTGTAGAAACACTGGTTGCCTACTCTCACAGTTTTGAAAGTGGGAAGTCCCATAGGGCCTATTTATAAGGATAAAAGGTATTGGATCAAGGCATGTCAAAGAGTAAGTCACATCTTATAGACTGGAAAATGAGAGATTTGGAGAGCCAGGAGCCATGTTCTGTTTTGTGGAAGAAGAGCTCCTCCCCAGTGTCTGAAAAGTACTTTAGAAAATGTCTTACATAATCTTTGCTATGTTGCATGCTGTAATCAACATGTTTTTAAGGAGTCCACACCTCAGCATCTTACAAGGAGCAAAACACTCTGGGCTAGGCCCTGAGGTCCCAGAAATAGTGAGATGACACAACTCAGCTGCAGTGTAGGGCTCTGCACATAAAACAAGTAGACATAATCCTTGCACAACAAGGAAAGAAAATGGTCAGGATTTACAACATTGTATTCATGGCTTAGGTTATCAACAGGTAATGAGCACAAGTTGAGTGGTGGATCATTCGATTTGATCCAAGAGTCTGAGAAACAGTGGGATAATGAGGGAATATCTTCATTGTCTCTAAGTCCCAGGGGCTCAGTCTCCCCAGTGAGGGGCCCTGTCCATAGATATTTTATCTATGGATTTTATGACCTTTAGATAAGGCCTGGAACCCAGGCCAGGGTAAAAAAAATTTTTTTTTGAGGCATAAGAGTCCATAAAAGTCTGGGTAGTTCTCACCCAGATTGTGAGTGACAGCTACAGGAAAAGAGCAGAAAAGTCCAGAGAAGTATGACTAAAGTGTAATTAGTTTAGTCATTTGTCTAAATAATCATATATTCGATAATATATATAAAGCAATTAACTCAGAGCATGATCCTTAGTAAGTGCACAATAAACACCAACTATCATTGTATACTCAAAAAGAAGTATTAATGTATATATATATAGTAGGGAACTTTCTAGATAGTAACTTTGCTCTGGAGACTACAAGATGGTCAAAGTTCCTGGGCCTAGATAGGCGAGGTTAATTCTCATAAATGTCATTTCAGCAGCCCTGTAGATACTACAAGGAAATATCAGGCCAGGAGGCTACAATCTGAAGATGTCTGCTCTTCTTCTCTCCAGCCAAAGGCAAGTGAGTTGGGCCAGTGAATATGGGAAGAAGCATGGGGCACTAGGACCATCAAAGATGGAAAATAAAAGAGGCCAAGGTAGAGCAGCAGTTTCCTTTGACAGAGACTCATAGTGTGCCCTTGAAGCTACAGGAGGGACCTTTCAATACATCTTCCTGCTTGATACTTTGCCACTCACCCTGTAGTAGTTCTTTCACCATCCTTGCCAGAAGGCCTAGCTAAAACTGAATCCCTCTTGTACTCAATACCACATTCTGGTTTTAACTCCCTGGTTTTCCTACATCCATGTTTTCTTAGTTACTGCCTCTTCCTTCAACCTCCTGCACCCATATTTTCAGATCTTTGACTAGCATGGCAGCATGGTAGCACAGGGAAGCATGTCCTTCCTGTGGGGCATCCTCAAGGGCTAGTTTAGCTCTTGAAACCTACTCTCATAACTAATCCTGTGCTGGCAGCAGGTCAACTGACACAAAACATAAATGTGTAATATGGTCGCACTTGCTCCCCTTTCTTATTTGGTCTCAAATAGAAAGCACAATATTCAATAATCAGGTTGTACTTAAAACTATAAATTTTTTAGACAGCTAGGAAGCTGTCTTCCTTAAAACTAGGTTATTTCACCCTACAGAATTTACTCACAAATTTACACACTCCCACAATAATTCGTACCACACTAAACTGTTTTTTTTTTTTTTTTTTAAAACACAGGGTCTCACCATGTAGCCCAGGCTGGCCTCAAACTCACAATCCTACTACTTGTGCCTCTGAAGTGCTGGACCACAACATCCAGCTACACTATACTCTTAAAAGGTTGCTTGATAGTATGAAAGTGAAAATGTTAATTGAGAAAGAGTATGAAAATGGCAAGTAAGTTGACAATTACATAAAATGAAAACAAGTTGTCTACATATCAAAGAAAGTCAAAATTTTGAATTACCTCTGAGTGGGAAATCATCTGAATCCTGTTAATAAAACCTACCTCTCACCATTAGGTCCCACTCTGTTGATTAATTTTTCCATGGCTTCCTCTGTCTCTTTCAGTTTTTCTTGCAGTTGAGCAAGCTCAAAATTGGCTGAAAAATAAGCATCAATCTAAAAAACATCATACACAACTCCCTAAGCCTTTCCATGAAACACGACTGGCTGTAACACTCTATGATAATCCAGGCTGGTTCTGAGATTCAAAAAAAAAGACTGAGAATTTCTCCAGTTAATCCAACCACGATAAAAAGGGTGCAGAGGACTGGGAACCACAAGCTAGAGGATACACATTTAGTGAGTGAGGAATAAATCACTTCCTCTTACACACTGGAATAAACAGGACAAAGTAAAAAAAATACCCAAGAGTGAAAAACCCCTACACAGTCATCCAAAAAGAAATGCAGAAGATAAACATACCATTTGTGATCCAAATGATGCTTGAGGGTACAGTACCAAACCTACAAGGTACTTTAGAAAGGGAGTTAAAACCCTGAAATGAGGACTATTTTACTTGCAACTAAGGTCTGAAAACATATCTGGAAATTAATAGTTTAAATGTTGTACTTCTCCAACAGAGGAAGTCTTGAACTAGGGCTGAAACATCTATGGACAAAATTTTCTAGAATGGATATCTAGAATAAAGAGCAGGCCATGCTAGGGAGTTAATTCTGTCACCCAGATGCAGTTTTCTAAACCAGGGTCGGTAGGGAGCACACATATCTACTGAAACTAACATTAAGACTCTCAAACTAGAACAGGAAAATAAGTCACTCAATCAAAACATGAAATGAAAATAAAATGCTACTCATTAATTGGGTAATCTAGATTTCTCTCTCATATCCAAATATGCTTCCATCCAAATATATTGAGAGGGAGATTATAAAATGTAGTACATTTCAAGACCTTTTCATGCATATACAACAAATTCTCATGCATGCAGTTAACATCTGTAAAGTGTCTTGAGGACTATGTACATAATGCTTACGTTATTTTTATTTTCTCCATGATTTATAATTAAAGTATAAGGATCTGATTATCACTGCTATGTCCATTATTACCAAAATGCTGCTCTTAGGAATTCATCTGATTTACTTCTGTCTCAAATGCATTATGTGACAAGATAATGAATTTGCTACCCTTTAGAAAAGAGCCCAAATTAAAAAAAAATACTGATGCACTTACCAGCATTATCTCATTTAAGAACACAGTAGCTTTCTTTAGGGACTCCTTGACAATTTAATATTTCCAAAAAATATGAAGAATGTGACTGGGATATCTGGTTCCAGAGAACTCAGGAGTAAATTCAAACAGCAGTTTGGCTCAGTCTCACTTCACTCTGTTGATGCCTTTCTTCTAAAAAATCTCTGAGGAGGCTTCATCATCCATAGGATAAAGTATCAGTCTATCCATGTACTACTCTTTAAGACTTCTTTCCCACAATTGCCATACATGAACTTCACAAGCTCAAGACCTTGTGCTTATCAGTATCTTACTCAAGTCATCTGACAGGCCCTCCTCCATAGTCACCCAGACGTGATTTCCCATAATGCATTAACAAGTTCCTCCTTTCTAGGTAGTAAGTATTTCACAGGTTATTTTTCTTGTAATTTATTCTAGTCTATCAGTTCTTAGAGGAAAAGGCTATGCTGCATACATTTTATTTCCCCAGGGTGCACAGAATATTCTAGTTGGGCAATATGTATTCGATGATCATGTTTCAAGAGTCTAAAGTGTTAAACTCTTTCCCTAGAGCTAATAACTGATTTGGGCAACAATACAATTTCTCTATCTCAGTTTTCCTGTCTGTGAAATAAAGCTATTTGCTACCAATACTTTGAAGTCTGTAAATGAGACATAACCCATTTCAAATGTGAAAGATGAATACGTGATTTTGTACTTTTTGCAGCATACTTCCCTTAAAAGCCCAACATCAACATGGAAACTTTAGAGAATTCCCAGCACTAAGGTGAAAATGGCATCAGATTAATTTGGAGCAACTTTTGAGAAATGCTTTCAAGATATAGCCACAGATTGTCCCTGCACCTGTATTACAGCTGACACTCATGAATATACTGAGAAGGGGCACTTACTAATTTTCCTGTGTGTGTTTCCAGGTGTGGGAGTAGGGCATTTCCGATCCTCTGCAGTTTTCCCTTTTGAAAGCTGAGAAGTGAAGGAGGTACAGCACATCAACAGCAGCTCAGAACCTCAAAGTCATGGAACCCCTCATATTAAATGGGAAAAAAAAGGTTGGGAGACAAAAATTAAGTCAGAAATCAAATATCAACATTACTGAAACATCTAAAAAAAAGCCACTGGAAGATGTGAGAAGAGAAAAATGATCAAGGCACAAGGAAAAAAAAAAATCTTTCTGCAGGTCATCTGCCTTGCCCGTGTTTGTCTAAAAGAGGATGTGAAGAACCCCAAGGGCATTCTGGGAGACTTAACTCAAGCTACTCCTAGACAAGAAGGAATTCAAATCACTCCAACCTTACTCTAGTTAGAGGCATAAAAGGAAGCTTCTGCCTCTACCACACAGTGCACAGGCCTATGGCCTACAAAAACCTGCCTAGAGGTAGAACTCAACTGGGGGTCTGCTTCTAATAGACCCACAGTATCACTCCCCAGAACCAGTAACTGTCAGGCTTAGTTTCAGAATGTGACAACTTTGACTCAGGATTAGTGAAGATGATGTTAAAAACAGCATCTCATATTCCTGTGGGGGAAAAGAAGAATAATGTGGTGTTGGTACAAACACTATATGCCCTCACAGTAGCTACCTGGAAACCACTGCACCAATCCTAAGAATAAAACTACTTCTTAGAAAATTTTTATGCCCTTTTAGCTTCCAAAGATGCTCAATCTTTCTCCTTTGGCAGAGGCTTTGAATTATATTGTGCATTGGATTAGGAACTGGAAGATCTAGGTTCAAGTCCTGGTTCTGCCTTTTGAATTGTAAATTCTGGGGCAGCTTAAATTTTGAGCCAAGATTTCTCATCTGTAAAACTGAGATAATAGCTCTCCTAAGAACCTCACGAAGAGAAGGCAAGGTTTAAAGAGATGACATAGTTGAAAAATCTGAAGAGTTTTCATAGAGACAATAATTTTCATTACAGTATTATATTTTCACTGATATAAGATGACTCCACTTACCTTAAATAAAATGTACAGTATATATAAAAATATCCCAAAGCCATAGATTGGAATAATCTGCCCCATCAAGCCTCGTCCACTGCCTCCTCCTCCAGTGCCTCCACCTGATCCTCTGGCCTTTGCAAATGCCTCTGCAAGGTGAGACCTCTGGAAACGAGCCCCAGGGGTCTGACCACGTGACGGTGTGGAGTGATGATGCATTATAGGTGGAAATCGGCCCAATGTTCCTGAGAAAATAAATTAATTGGACTTTATCTCTTCCACTATTTTTAATATGTCTCTAATGAAAATACCTCATGCATCAAGGTACAAATAACAGAAGCCAACTTGAGTTTAAGTAAAAAAAAGAAACTTGATTAGAAGGATATAGAGATATCACACAGATACTAAATATGATGTGGTAAACTCTAGCTGTTCACTAAACCTATTTTCTCTTCCTACTAGGTCCATGGCTAGACCACATTCTCCAGCCTCCCATATAGTTAAATATGGCATGTGACTGAGTTCCGGCCAAAGGAATGTAAGTGATTGTGCTAGTTCAAGACCTGGTCTATAAAACTTCCCTTGTATTCAATTCCATGATCATTTCCCTTCTGCAAGATGGATGCTGACATCCAGGGAGAGCTTGGAAACCAGATGCTACAAATGACAAAGCCTCCATGAACATGGGTTCCTAAACAACTATGTGACACAGGGCTCTCCACTGCTGCCACTCCACTAACTTAGAGCCATCTGGTCCTGTTTGTGTAAGTAAGAAATAAACTTCTATTCTGTTAGGGCCATTACATACTTTGGAGTCTATCTGTTACAGCAGTTAGCCACCCCTATCTAATACAGGTAAGGAAATGTAATGTGGCCTCAAGAGAGTCCAGAACCAGAAACTGGGAAGCCATCAGGATCCAGGACAACTACATTCACATTCTAGCACAAACTCTCTCCCTCTCTATGGAACTATAAGGCTTTTTTCTTTGCTTCTCTGCACATCTTCATTCTCCTTTTTCTTCAGGTAATTTCTATAGCTTCTTTGTGCATATAGTGGAAGACAGCCACTCTAAATTTGCATATCCTTCAAGAGGCTAGTTAAGATTGGTTCTAATTCCAAATTCTTTGGAAGAAGACTTTTGAGTACAGTGCTTCAGTAGATAGTTATCTCTTTCTTTTTAAAAATTTTTATTAGGATATATTTGCTGTACAGGGGGGATTCATTATGACAATTCCAAATAGGCTTATATTGTACAATGGTTAATCACCCCCTACTCTCTCTCCCCCTGTACCCCTGTCCATCCCACTTAAAGCAACTGTAAGAAGTCTCATTGTTCTATTTCATATAAGTATATGAAGTCCATCAACCATATTCTCTTACCTTAATCTCCATTCACCCTCCCCCTTCCGTAAGTATACCCCCTACACACATCGTACCTATTTTATAGTCCTGTCTTTTTAATTTCTAAGACAATATTCAAAGGTGTTTCTTGATGTATCCCTGCTGTGAGTCTACTTTATTTTGAAAATTCCCTATTCAATTCATGTGCCTATTTCTTCACTGGATTCTAATCAGCTATAGCTGAGCAGACAGGATTCATACAGTATGAACAGGGTCAAAGGAACCAACCTTGTGAGAGAAAGAGCAAGGCTTAGAGAATTGGAGGGCATCCATTTTCTTGCATTTTTTCCTCCATCAACAGCGGTCAAAAGTTAACCACATAAGCCTCCTGGGAGCAATATGAGAAAGAAAGAAAAGGCACCACTTCAGAAGGCCACTTAAACAAGTGTGTATGAAGAAACTACAGTAGATAAAATATTGAACAGAAAACACTAGAGAGGAGAAAGACTTCATAAAGAAGATTCTAAAACTACAAGCCATGAAGTTAAAAAAAAATTTGGATTTGACTTCAACTAAACTAGGAATTTGTGTTCAATAAAGAACATCATAAATAGAATTAAGAGAAATGAAGACAAAGGAAAAGATTTTCCAGCATTTGAAACTGACAAGGGATTAAGTATCTACAATATTCAAAGAGAATCTACAATTCAATATGAACATTACAGGAAACCCAATAGAAAAATGGACAAAAGACACGAGTAAGGAACTTACAGAAAGCGAAGCCTAAATGACTACCATTATTAATTCAATATACAACAAATGATTACATTCAATATACAAAAAATGAGTAAAATGCAAATTAAGATAGTAACAGAGTACTTTATACCCACCAGAAGGACAAAAATTAGAATGGTGGTTAACAGCAAAGACTAGCAAAGATAAGGGAGGCAAGAATTCTCATGCACTGTGGGTTAGAGTGCAAACTGATACAGTCATTTTTCTAAGTGATCTGTCTCTTCTTAATGACATTATGAATAGGCCCTATGAACCAAAATCCTCTCTATGGTGGATCAATCCCTAGGATACTCTCAAATGAATTACAGACCATAGACCTGTGTAAGAAGATTCTCTGTGATGATAATGTAGCAAGGAGCTTGAAGTAACTTTGATTTCCACTGGAAGAGTGAAATATCAAAATGGAGTGGATACAAATGCAGAATTCTAGGTACTTTTAGAAATCACACTCTAGAAATATCTATAGCAACATGAACACATCTTTAAAAATTGCCAAGCATATTGATTTAGTTTAAAAAAGGCAAATACCATCATGCAAGGTGAACACACATAACTATATGTGTGTATATACATACATACATGTATTTCAAGAAAATATGAAGGTATTAAGACATAACACAAACACATTAGGGTATACACATATGAGCTAGGAAGGGAACAGACATGTAGATTGAGGGTAAAAGGGCTAAAAAGAAAAGAAAAAACTTCACACTGATAAAGTTAATGAAGCGCCATGAAGTGAGAGCTGGTTTTAAGTCATCTCTGCGCTCCTGAGAGAAGAAAGAAGGGAACCAGGAAGGTAAGATGACTAGTTTCTAGGCTTGGAAGCTGCCTTCTGCCTTGCATTCTTTCTCACCTAAGCTTCACTCCAGTAATCCTCCTTTCCCTCTCAATACTGATTTTGGATGACATAGAAATTATGGGAAGAAATTCTTCTTCTTTCTTCTTTTGTAGTACTGGGGTTTGAACTCAGTGCCTCGAGCTTGCTAAGCAGACACTCTACCACCTGAGTCACACCCTCAGCCCTTTTTTCCTCTAGTTATTTTGGGGATAAAGTCTCACATCTATTCCCGGGCCAACCTATTTACACTTCCTACATAGCTGGGATGACAGTCATGCACCACTATTCCAAGCTATTGGTGGAGATAGGGTTTAACTAACCTTGCCCAGGCTAGCCTCAAACCATGATCCTCTCAATCTCGAATAGCTGAAATTATAGGTATGAGCCACTGCACCCAGCTGAGAAATGCTTCTTTTTAAGAATGCATCAGCAACAGAAACATAGCTTAGGACAAAGGCAGAAGCAACCAAGTCACCACCCCTTATTCTGTGTGCTGCTGACTATGTCTCTTTTAAATTGTCAAGGATCTATATTAAATGGTGAGTACTAGCTTTAAGGCTGTTAAAAAATGTCTAGCCAGCATCCAGGAAGCTCATGTTTCTCTTGAGAGGACCTGATACATCAAGTGGCTAGTGTTCAATAAACTAAATCTAATATTGTAGCAATATGCTATTGAACCTCATTTTATTGCCCAGAGAACAATGTCTTTAAAACCTGACATACCTGCCTAGCACATGGAAGGCCCTGGGTTCAATACCCAGCATTTAAAAGAACAAAAACAACAAAAAAAAATTGTTGTTTGGGCTGGTGGAGTGGTTTAAGTGATAAAGCACCTGCCTGGTAAGTGTGAGGCCCTGAGTTCAAATCCCAGTGTTGCCAAAGAAAAAGAAAACCCTGGCATAAAAAACAAAACAAACAAACAAAAATCCTAAAACCAAATGACATAAAAGGCAACATTTTGCATTTTTAAGATTAAAAATGATGATACTGCTAAATATTATACATTTCCCTAAAAACTCTTATAGATATCTCAGCCATGAAGATTTATGGGTTACCTACCATGTTCAAGATTTTGCCATAGGTAGGAAGAGAGCCATGAACAAAAAAGAAATAACAGTTCCCACATGGAACAACTTTTATAAAACACAGTATGTCCCAAAGAAAGACAAACAAGGGCAGGGCATCATCATAAACTTTCTTACTAGAAAAACTATTTACACTTCCTGCATTGCTGGAATGACAAGCATAGACCATGCCCAGCTATTGGTGGAGATGGGATCTAGCTAACTTGACTCCCAGGCATGTCTAAATATTGAAAGGATACAAAAATTAAAAATTAAAAAAATAAGAGTGGAGTAAAACGGGGTCAATCACAGAAAGGAATGAGAGATTCAGACCAGCACAGAAGCAAAAGAACACTGGAAGGAAGAAGAGGGTACATGGTAAAAAGAGACACTAAATAGAGTTAACTACCAATTTAGTTTGGCTCCACTCAGGGAAGTAACAAGAGGTAAGGAAAGGGAAGCAGAGATGGGGGAGGAGTTTAAATGCTAACTTGTGTGGCTATGGATTTGATACTGAGAACATTGGGTCAGGAAATAGAATGAGAAAAGTACTCTAGCAGTTGAGTATAAGATCTAATATAGAGAGGAACTAGGGTTTGGAAAAAAAAAAAAAACCAACAAAAAAGCTGTTAGCGAACAGTAAGTTAGCTCTGAGATCCAAGCACCTGGGGTGGTGGCTATAGCTCTAAAAAGCAAAGGGGAGGTCCCAGAGCTATTACCATGTAATTAGCAGCAGCAGTGAATATTGAACACACTACAGATATGGGGAAAAAGAAAGAATATTCTAAGATGAATTTAAGGTACTAAGAGAAGAATGAAGAAACTTGGGAGGGCTTATGGTTAGGGAAGAACTGAATACACATTTTCACACATTATATTCCAGGTACTGGTGGAATATACAGAAAATTTTTATTCATGCAGTTAAGCATGAGAAGAAACTCTACACCACCTAAATGATAAAGCTAATTAAAATTAAATGAATTGTTTCCAATACCAAAAAACACTAGAGGAATATGTACAAAAAGAGGAAGAAAAGAAAAATGAGCTGGTGGAAGATAAACAACAGCAAACCAATATCATAAAAGGTTAGACTCTTCTTCTGAAGAGTCTAGAAGAAAAATTGATTAAAAGCCAGGAGTGGCAAATTCAACAACACATCAAAAAATCATTCACCACAACCAAGTAGGCTTCCTCCCAGGAATG